ATTTCTAACAAAAATTTTTCTCGATAACCGGCAGTTATGTTGAGAGTTCTGGACGCCCCCCGAAGAGTTCTAGCGATAATTATTAACATTCGAAGCGCTCAGAGGCGAAATAAAAAAGTTCTCGATGATTGAAGTTTCGGATTCAAAAAATTTCTAACAAAAATTTTTCTCGATAACCGGCAGTTCTGTTGAGAGTTTTGGACGCCACCCCAAGAGTTCTAGCGATAATTATTAACAAAATACTGTAATTTACAAGCTTTATAACTCAAAAAGTACTTAATGAAAAATAACTTCATTATAATGTTTTGAAAAGCTCTTGACACCAGCTATTAGATTTTGGAATCAAAAATAGGGTGTTCTATTTAAAAAAACAAAGTTGACCTCCATATGACCTTGGCATGTATACCCTAAGTTAAACTAATGTCATCATCGGATGTCCCTCTCCAAACCCAACAACTTTGGTCTAAATCATTTTTCTTGAAAATGTCTCTTTGAAAAGTTATTCACGTGGGGTTTTTAAAATGGGACACCCTATATATCACTTTTTAATCAGCTTGACGAGAGTGTTCAATTAATGCAATTTTTAAATCATAAATTAAGGTACGAGATTTGGGGAACATTGTCTATGAGGACTTGGCGTTAGCCTTTATCTGAAAATGGCGGAGCCAATCAGTAATAGCACTATGTATTAGCAATAATCTTTTATCTACTCTAACCAGTCGTAAATGTACCAATTTGCCTTAATAAATAAAAGTAGCATACACGCACAAACATTCACAAAAGCATAAGGACATCTACAAACATGCATGTACATAAAAATACGCATATAGATGATCATAAAAGAATGGTAGAGTTTCACAGACGTATTTTCTGTATTTCTTACCTTATACAGTCATGACATCTCTTAATCGGAAGTGGATAATGTTCACATTTGATGTGCGTAATTCAAAGTTCCTCTATTTACACACCTTTGCTCACTCGGCACACATCCAAGCAATAGTCTAATTCTTGTCAGACTCAATCGAGCATGTTCAGTATGATGGCATCCACAGCACGGGTGATCCTTTCCTGAAGATCCCGGAATGATCGGAGCATTGAGGGTAAATTATGTCTTTCACGTACAGGATGTCTTTCACCCCACAGGAAGAAGTCACATGACGTTATGTCCAGGGACCGGGATGGTTACCATATGACAATTCTGACAGGAATTAGACTACCGCTTTGATGTGTGCCGGGTGACCAAAGTTACGCACATAGAGAGACTTTGAGTTACGCACATCAAACTTGGACATTTGCACTTCCGATTGTCAAACGTCATGACTGTATAAGATAAGAAATACAAAAAATATATGTCTGTGAAACTTCACCATTCTTTTATAAAGAATAACATCTTGTACAGACAGGTATGCACGACAAACTCACGTAGGCTTAGCATGCGAACAGATTTTATGAAAAAGACTTTTATATGCCTAAAATTTAAAAACTATACATACAAAAGTTTTGCCCATTAAGTTTTTTGATTAGAGACACAAGAACTATAACATATAAAAAATTCTGATAATTTGACCGACACTGTTTCCCCATAAAAATTGTGTGGTGTCCTATCTTACACTTTTATAAGATATACATATTTACATATTAAAATATTGGCATTTGTTATATGATTTTAAAAAAAATGTCTTTTTTCAATTCAAACCATGCAATTTTTGCATAGATTATTTTTTTATACCACTATTTTCACTCTACTACTTATTAGCTATTTAGATGGTTGTACTAAAATTGGACATTCTAAGTATATGACACAAATATACGTACGTAATAGTTTTCTTTTGTTTCAATAAAGGAATACAATAATATTCCTGCAATAGCAAAGAGCAAGCCTAATAATGTTTTTTGACTTGGTTTCTTACATTTTTTTAATCGAAAAATACGACAGACATGCGTGATAATCTGTAACAGAAAATTTTACCATTATCTCATCAATGAAATATTTTGTAAAGGATGGGTAGTAATAAGACCCCAAATCGGCTCCAAAATACTACTTTTTCTTAAATATGTGAAATTAATTTTCTTTCATATCTTGTTAGTAAATATAGAAGATATGGAGTCTTTGGAAATATCATACAAAAATATTTTTTTATTATATTTTAATACCATCTATTCAATATACGTCCTGAACTTAAGTCTGACCGTCAAAAACCACGAAAAATCATATTTTTTAAGTATTCGGTCGCAATTATTTTATACAGCGCATTCGTGTACCACAAAGATTTTTACACATGTAGTGCATAATTACATAAGACACAACATACGTAAAATTGATTGTAGTACTGCAATGCGTGGGTAGTAAAAGATAAACTTAAACAAAATCTACCCCACACTTACAGCACAAAATACGGTCTGTTTTATGTTTCTTTTTGCGAGTAATATTTGAAGAGAAAAGCTATCTTATTTACTTGGACGTCATTATTTAGTTATTTTATTGGTGTATCAACAATATTCCACTAGTGCAGTCTTGTTTAAGTAGTTACTTAAGGACAGAAAATGTCTAAATCATACTTTTGTTGCTGTTCAATCTCGTAAAACTGGTAAGCAATTAAAATCTTTAAGTGAAGTGCTTGAATATTTGACAATGCAAAATCCTGATTTTATGTTAATAACCGAATTTGTGGCAAATGTTATACAGAAGGTGTTAGAAATAAAAGAAAAAATACATCTTCATTCTAAGACACAGACGAAACCTGAAAAAGATTCTGCAGGGAGTTCTACCGAAAGTGTAGATGCTTATAAAGCCTATTGTAATTACTATTGTAATACTATAATACTAAACTTCATTATTTTTGTTTCAATATAATCTTTGAATCACCTTTTAATTCTTCTTTATTATATTTATAATATTGCCTAATAGAAATCACCATTATCACTGGTTGCTAAATATTTCAATACAACTTATACATTTATTAATGTTACTAGTAGTAATATCAATTTATAATAAAAACAACTGAGGCCGATTGAGACCCTTATCGTCACCCTTCTTTTAAGAAAGATTTCTAGTTTGGAAATTTCAAAAAATCGATTTTTTTTTTGCATTTTCTGAATCTTCTATGTATCTAATATATGTGTGTAAAGGAATTTTTCGAAATTTGAAAAATTTTTAGAAATACACGCTATTCAATGGATTAATAAAGGTAAAATCCGTGCGCTCGGAACTTTAAAACGCGATTTTCTCGAAACCATGTTTTCAGAACTGGTGGGCATAATATTTCTGAAAGTCAACCAATTCACTTTGGTTTTGTTTTGTTGTAAAGTAGATAGTTTGTGCTAATGCATGAAATTACCATTTTTTAATAGATTTATAACAACGAAAAAAGGACAAAAAATTGAATTCCAACTTTAAAGTGCTACCATTTTGTGAATTTTTAGCTTTTTTTTTAATTTTTTAAGTTCATGCACTAGATACTTTTATTAATTTTAAGAATATCTTTGGTTTTTTGTTTTGGAATCAATAATTATGGCCAACACGCCCATCGATTAACCAATTTCATTGAACGCTATTTTAGACAATCTGCGCGTCACACTTTTTTATAAAAATTGACTAACAAAATTTTTTTTTTATTAACACAATTTATAATATATTTCAATATATTATTTATAATATATTGTATATGAAATAAGTCGCAATTTGATGTTTCCTTTTATTTTTTTTTTTAATTCCCAAAAATTATTTATTTTTTGACTTTCTAATTTAAAAATCCTTCTTAAAAAATATTTCTGTATACACATACATATAATTATAATGTTTTTGGTAAATCTTCGAAAAACCCACCTATATGAAATAATGGATAAGAATACCCAATTCCTACGTATTTTGGACTCCTGAATACAAATCTGAAAAAATTTTTTGTCGATCGGATATATTTAGACCGCCATCTTGAAAAATACTTGTTTTTTATCGATATTTCCTAAAATATTAATTGTACAAAAAAAGTTGTCAGACAAAATATGAAGCTCGTGATACTGTATATAAAAAAGATCCTATACATAATAAATGTAAATTTAATACTTTAATCGCCATATTTAAAACTGATAAACAGGCCGGCTGAATCGGTCGATTGAAGCTCGCTTTGCGTGGAAAATTGTAAACCCATGTGGAACGCGTGGAAAGTGTATGCGTAGAGGCAGTGTGTTCTGTCCCCCTGCGGGGGGCACCACTATAATAAAAACCTAACCTAACCCTACTTACCTACCCTACTCTTGAGTTAATCTAATTGTAAGATTAGGTTAACCCAAGGATAGGGGTAAGTAAGTAGGTAGGGTTAGGTTAGATTTTTATTATAGTGGTGCCCCCCGCAGGGGGACGGAACACACTGCCTCCACGCATACACTTTCCACGCGTTCCACATAGGTTTACAATTTTCCACGCAAAGCGAGATTCAATCGACCGATTCAGGCGGCTTGTTTATTAGTTTTTTAAAATATGGTGACTAAAGTATTGTATTTACGTTTATTACGTATAGGGTCTTTTGTGTATACAATATCACGAGCTTCATATTTTGTCTGACTTTTTTTTGTACAATCAATATTTTAGAAAATATCGATAAAAAACAAGATTTTTTGCGTTTTTTTCGACTTACAAGTCCGAGCGCTATTTTTAAATTTTATATCTGTGTTTAGCAGGCAAAAATACGTAGGAATTGGGTATTCTTACCCATTATTTCATATAGGTGGATTTTCCGAAGGTTTACCAAAATTAAATAGTATTTATTCATAAAATTAAAAAACCATAAACATGAATGTTATAGAAAATATTAAGATTTAAAGTATAAGAAAAATTTGAATATTATGTAGAAAATTAATAAATGTGAAAGCAAAAGAAGATAAACAGTTGGTTATTAATCATAATTAGAGGTCAGACAAAAAATTAACAAACATATATGTTCGAATAATTCCAAACAGAAAAATGAGCTTTTAGTTCGGACAGTTCGAACATAAGCAGTACTATCGATCTGTACTATCAATTCGTAATATCGTAATTCGAAAGATTCGAATACATTAATGCCAATGTTACATAATATGTACATATCGATATTACCAAAGAGATTGAAAGAAGAGATGGTAGATAGGAATCTACTGCCATAGAGCCAGACGGAATTTAGTAAATAGGTAAGTGCAGTAGACAATATACAGGGTGAGGCATCGAAAACAAGCCACCTGAATAACTCGCCTGCTTTTGGCGATAGAAAACAATGCATCAGACCAATCTTGCTTGATTTTAAGACATAATTTTATGTCAATAGTTTTTTTGTGGATGGAAGTGTAAAAGTCAATTTTGTTTTTTTAAATAAAATGATATCTTTTTTACTTAGCTTCTAATAAAGCGTTTCAAGACGCATACAATGCCATGCGATACGGCCAACTTCAATAATTAATTAATTATTAACAGCGCTACAACTTTAATTGACATACGTCAATCTCTAACGCACGAGTCAGAAGTTGGCCATATTACAGGGCCGAAGTGAAAAGGTAGACGTCACCCGCAATATTTCAAGCCGATAAAACTCGTATAATATGTAAAATATTATACTTACATTAAATCATACATCGTTGTATTCTTTTCAAACAGCGCTACAACTTTTTTTACATCAAAATATCCACATTATTATAAAAAATTTATGCATACCTCTCCGTTTGTTAACACGGATAACTTTTGTAAGCAAAATATTATGCGCACAATAGAGTTCAGTTTGAACCATTTAATTTAATTTTGATATATATTTGTTATGGTCTTTTTTAATTTTAAAGATAAAAGGGGGTGACCATTTTTGGTGGGACACCCTATTTATATAAAACTTTGACCGTTTTGAGGCGAGAGAAGATGTTGTCCAATTTCGCTCAAATTTTACATATAGTTGCATATTCTGATTATGAGAGGCAACTTTTCCCCAAATTGTAAAGCGATATCTCAAAATTCGCTTTTTTTGCTCCACTCTAATATATTATACATGCGTTTCCTACTTTCTTTATTTGTATGTGATGTACTTCTGCCGTGAATGTATGTTACAAAAAAGAATCATCTTCTTTTACTGGCTTTAGTTTTTGCTAGTCATAATCCCTATTCGTCGTCTATTAATCTTTATCTTATCGTGCAATCCGTTCTTTGAGTAATGTTGCACGTTTTCAGTCGATTCTTATATTTTATTATTGCGCGTACATTGAGTTTTTTTGTTTACTTTAGAACTTTAACACGTTGAATGCCATTGGGGTCACTGATAACCGGCACTCGACTTGCCTGTGACGCCATGGAGGTTATCGGTAAGCGGTGATATCAGAATTAATTCAATACTAAAATAAAATGAAGATAATGTAAGATTTTTAATACTAATAATGTTATAACAATAATGTAAAGTAATAAATGCATCACGGAGCATTTAAACCAGCGCTCGGAATTAGTTGCACATTTCGGGCCGATTCCCGAGACGACGCCTCCTGTTCCCCCACTACCGCTCGGCCGTTGGCGGCCGAGCCGCCGATAGCTCTGGCGCAGGAGCGTTGTTATATAAGAAATAGGCTGGGTTGTTGAGGCACCTCTCAGAAAATAGTAATATTTTCTTTGCTACATAA